ACGATGGATAAAATCCGAAAACCCAATATCTCTGTGTGTTATACACCATCGTCAGAATCCTATAGTAAATATTTATAGTAAAGTCTTCCAGGTTACACCTGTAACCCGTTTGTACCGACGTTTCGAGAGAACAACCAGCCTCTCTCCATCCAACATCTTCTGGCCGACGAACCATTGTTACCCATGTATCAGATTACATGGTTTCTTAACCCAGAAGAAAATTGTAAACGAAATTCTCTTTTATATTGGTTAAGCATTGAGGGAGCTTTTCGGAATGTTTTGGTCTCTCTTCGTTCAGTAGCAAGAGGGAGAGGTGTGAACGTTTCCCCTCCGCCCAGAAGCTCTCTGGCAAACAGCCCCGCAGCACGTGATGAGCTGGCTGATGGATACGTTTTATTGCCCCTCCAAAGTTTACATAAGTATGCAGGTAGTCCTTACCTCTTAACATTGGCCTCTGTAAACACTATGATTGTTTTCTTTTTCCTTTCGTTTCTTCCATTAACCCACTCAGTAGCTCTGTGTATATGTTTGGAATAAAGTTTCAGAGTGTGTGTTTTTACGAGCCATTAAACTAAGCCACAATGAAGACGCTTTCGTGACTGAATTGCTTATATGGAAGTAAATCCAACAAAGTGTTGAAATCTTGGTGTATTTGTTCTTCCTCTGAAATAGAAATGAAAGCAAACGGAGTAAAGGATTCACTGTCGGCACTTATCCCGACCTACGTCATGAGAACACGTGATCTCTTGCAGCAAGCAGGATGCAAACATGCGGTCATGTTAGTGCTGTTACATTGACAGTAACACTGTTGCTCCTGGGATTGTAAAGTAAATCTCACTGACTATAGAAAACTATAAATTTTCATACTTTATACATATATCTCCTTCTGGCATTCAGTATTAACTTCATGAAACACATTACGCTTATTATTATTATCATTATTATTATTATTATTATTATTATTATTATTATTACAGATCCAGAGGTTCGAGTTCGATTCCCGGCGCTACCAGATTTTCTGAGAAGTAATGGTTCTAGAAAGGGGTCAACTCAGCCTAGTGAGGAAACCTGGGGAGCTATTCAAGGAAATAGCGGCTCCGGTCTAGAAAACCGAGTTTAATGGCCATGGGGATTCGTTGCGCTGACCACGCGACACTCTCTATCCGCTAAATTTGGCATTAACTTCGCCGACAAACGGCGGTCGCTCGGTCGGTATAGTTCGCTTGAGGAATAAAACCACGGAGTTTGTTTATTATTTTTATTATTATTGCCCGCTTCTGTGGTCTAGTGGTCAAAGTTCCTGGCTACAGATCCAGATGTCCAGGGTTCAATTCCCGGCTCTACCAGATTTTCTGGAAAGTAGTGGGTCTGGAACGGGGTCCACTCAGCCTCGTGAGGAAACTTGGTGAGCTATTGAAGGAAATAGCGGCTCCGCTCTAGAAAACCGAAATTAGCAGCCATGGGGATTCGTTGCGCAGACCACGCGACACTCCGCTAAAGCTGGCACTAATTTCACCGACAAGCGGCGGTCGCTCAGTCGGTATAGTTCTCTTGCGGACTACATGCCATGGAGTTTGTTTGCTTATTAAAGGGATGGGGTGGAAGAGCAGGGATTGTGTTCAGTTAATATCTACAAAGGGACCCGTGAACACGGCAACAAATATTCGGGTTTGTTAGATTTGAGTTTCTCGTGGCATTAATTTTAAATTAGCATCTTCTGTGGTGTGACTCCGTGTAGCGCTGTAGAACTTCACTTCTAGTAGTCTACACAGCGTTATATGCCAGAGATGATATTCTTCAAGGCTTTCGGTTCTATAAAAGTCGGAACATTTCTTGAGAAGTTAAGTCATTACCCCTGTCCGCTTTTTAAGAACTCCGCTACGCGAAGTTAGTTAATTAGGACGAAGTTGTCTCATCACCATTAGAGTCACCGCAAAGAGATTGTTGCAGTTACTTTCTAACATGTTTCGAAATGAGCACAGGACGTTCTTCCCGAGACACAAACGCAATGTTACTTTCTTGCTTGCCGCTTCCAGAAAGGTGTACACAAAAAGGCGTGTGAGAAGAACGTTTTGTGATCAGTGATCCATATTCCAATTTACATCAAAACCAGAGAAATATTAATTGTAATCTATTAAATATGTATGCAGGCCTCTAATTCTTTTACATTTTGTTTTCAGAACGACACGATGAGGATTCTATACGCATATTATAATGACGACCCTGCTGCGCACACGGGGTCTAAACTCGGTGCTCTCCCATACCATGGACCGGCACAGAGGGGAGCTAGACGTTTGTACCTCATCCAGAGGGTGAGCCTAGAGGAGCCCCTCCCGAGGGATCTTCATATTTGGGACCTCAGGAATCCTGTGGTAAGTACAACACAAGAGAGAGACTTTCCACCAGTTCATATACTGAATTGCATTTGTCGCACAAGCTCATTGGTACAGTTTCCAGGGCCAGTTGAATCCAACTCATAATTTCGCTCAGTACAGGCTTTCCGGATGAAAGGTATCCAAAATAAAATAATTATATCTCAGAAAGAATTTATTTTACACATTTATGGGTTACACCACTACAAAGGGAAACTATCAAAGTTTTTTCTGGGTACATAAGTTTCTCAGTAAATTTAAATGTGGGCTCCCTTGGTGGCACGACAAATATCCAGGCTTGAAGCGTGTTTGGTGTTACCGCAGCCACAGCGGCCCTTATGCGGGCTTTCAGCTGTTGAAGTTCCTTGATCTTAACCTCTTAGACAATGTTCTTCACATAACCCCACAAGAAGAAATCCTCTGGGGTTAAATCTGGCGACCCAGGAGGCCAAGCGATTGGTCCACGTCTGTCAACTCATATCCCAGCCATCTCTCTGTCCAGGTGATTCCTAACATGGTGGCAGAAATGTGGCAGCGCATGCGCGTAAGCTGGGCATGGGGAAAAAACTTACAGAGTTTTCCTTTCCGATGACTTAAACCGATGACAGTTACTTCCCGAGATATATTTTTTTATTTATTTTGGATACCTTTCATCAGGACACTCTGTATTTAAGGTGAACCTTAGTATTACTCTCCCATCTACGCGTTCCTACAATAAGTGGACGTTTCCCTTCAGAATTTACGAATACTTTTCAGTATGAACTTATTATCTCTGTATGCTTGCCACATGCCCCTACAGCCACGCCCTGCCAGCCATCCTAACTGGCTTAATAATATTTGACGAGCAATACAAATTATGAAGAACTCCATTGTGTAATGGTGTTCATGCAAATAAAGGAAAGATACAGCGGACGGAGAACACGTATGGCGGTTTGTAGTTGATAACGCCATCTGTGAACGCCAATAGCTTATGCAGATAAAATGAAAACCACTCTTCAACAAAGAGATCTCAAGTTTTTACTGAAGTTCTAGAAAAATTAAACTTCTGTACCGAATAGGCTAGTGCATAGGTCAAGTTCTAAACATACATTTTGGAGGTGCTTAGTTCAAATCTCGGTTGAGACACTGACTGAAGCTTTTCCTCGGCCCTCGCAGGCAGATCTCAGGGAAGTAACTGGATTAGGTCGACATCGCTTCCTTACAAGTACTTTCCGAGATTCATTATTCATCAACCTCACATCCAACGCTGTATGGTCTCGATGCTGGAGGAGCATCGTTAAATAAGATGTCTCTGAGGTGATGGTTAGAATTGCTATCATATCACTCCGCTTTTCGTGAAATAGTTCTGCTCGGATTGAAATGATATCAGACAATTTCTTTCGCATGACAGCATTGTATTGTATTGTATTGTATTGTATTGTATTGGAGAGGGTGGGTTTCCCCATGCACTTAGACCAACTGTTGGTCCATTGTGCGTCCCCCTATGATATTCTACCAGTCTCTATTCCCTACCGGTACCGGTGCGTGCCATCAGTCCCGACTCAGCCAGCGAGTACGGCTTCTACTGGCTGAGCGGTATCTCGATGCTTCCCCCATCTATCAGAGGCGTTAGAGACTACTGTTGGGCGGGAAATATCCTGAATTTGGCACAGTGGTCCCCTTGGGACATGAGGTTTCTTTTACCCACGGCTTAAAGTCCGTCCCGGAGGACTTGTTCCTTGAATTTTTCCGCCCTTAAAAATTCCACGACCTCCGCCGGGTTTTAACCCGCGTACCTTGAGTCACGAGGTGGGAACGTTACCCCTAGACTACGGAGACCGCTCGCATGAGAACATTAAAACATCCGAAGGTTTTCCTAAGGTGTTGCGAATATAAAGTTGGAGTGTTAACGTGGCGACAGGTGATGTTCTGCCAGACTGTTCAGTCGAACTTGGCTTCATGGTTGCAAGTTTCTGTGCATGGCTGTCATCTGCAATGCGGACACTCACAACGAACCCGTCAGTAGCTGATGACGCTGCTTTGGTTCCAGTCTAATTCCCTGACTTCTCCTTTATCCTGTAACACCGCCTCGGCTTACCGGCAAGTAGCAATTAACCCTCTGAAGTTGAACTCTGCATTCTTCCCACAGAGAGTATAAATGTGTTTCATATGATTCTCAGAATAAACAAATATTATTTCTGTATCACTAACAGACGGACTTTCGCAATGAAGAGGTATTGCGTTTTCTACGCGTAAAGGATCTATGTTTCTAAACAATATTTAGATAAATTTCAGGCCAAAAATCATTAAAGCAGTCACGTGCTGCTTATATGATCAACAAAACATGGATCGACATGCCTTCTAACTGCTTCCACTTGTTCAGACCTGACAGGTTTATTAAAGCAAACTTTAAGCATGATAAAGTTGGATGTTTGTTAGAAAGAATTGAAAAGAAGTGTCCAGTGACTCCAGTAACAGAACTTTTCATTATAGAGCATATGGTCGCTCAGGTGGTCAAACTTTATGTTTTTCTTTTTCTTTTTTCAATTTCAAGTTCCTTGCCATTTTCAAAAGAGCGGATCTTATCCTGAAGTCCCCCACTTTCTCAAATCTTATTTCTTTGAGATTAATTTTAATATTTTCCTTCCAATAAGCTTAGGTTTATATTTATCTTCAGCCTCTGTGGTCTAGTAGTCAGAGTTCCTGGCTACGGATCCAGAGATCTGGACTCGATTCCCAGCGCTACCAGATTTTGTGAAAAGTAGTGGGTCTGGAACGGGGTCCACTCAGCCTCGTTAAGATAATTGAGGGGCTATTTGAAGGATATAGCGGCACCGGCCTAGAAAACTGAAATTAACGGCCGCAGGGATTCGTTGCGCTGACCACGCGACACCCTCTATCCGCTAAATTTGGCACTAACTTCGCCGACAAGCGGCGGTCGCTCGTTCGATATAGTTCGATTGCGGACAAACACCAAGGGACTTCATACTAAGACTAACATATGTCGTACTCAGAAACATTTAGTAACTATTGTTGTGAAAGTAGACATGAAAATAAAATAATAAAAAAAGAATGAATAACACAAGGAGAAATTGAACTGACGAAAAGTAATAAATATAAGCGGCAACAACCGGGCACAATAAAGTATGCGCAAAACGGAGATGACCGAATCCATTTCAGGGATTGATGGAGCAATTGATAAATGAAGATTGGCAGAGGAAACCGAAGTACTCGGAGAAAACCTGCCCCAACGCCACTTTGTCCACCACAAATCCCACTTGACCAGACCCGTGATCGCACCCGGGCCACCGCGGTGGGAAGCCAGCGACTAACCGCTTGAGCTATGGCGCGGCCTATGTGACATATACTTTTACATCTTACAGTGTATATAACTCCAGTTTCATGCGCACTGAATTGTTTCAGCTCAAATAGGACGGGATTCCCATGGAATGCATTGAAATAAAACTTCGTTCCATACTTTCAACAGACATCATATTAACAATGCCGTCTTCTGGGATGTGGCGCAATGTACGTAGATATTGTATAAACCGGTATTTCGGAGGGACGCATCGCCTCCATCTTCAGGGTAAAGAAAATGGAAGCGATACGTTCCTCCAAAACGTCGGTTTATACAATATCTGAACGGCACCATATCCCAGAACATTGCATTCTTCATAATCACTGCCGTGAAAACCTGAAATCTTACACAAACAATATATTAGTTTTAAATTATATAGATTGCGTTACTAATCAGCATGATAGATATCTAAGGCGTAGGAGAATCATAGCACGTTACATAAGAAATTAAAAGAAACTTTTTTTTTTCACGATGTACACCCATTCTAACGGCCATGGCGTCTATTCGTACAAAAGTACGCAATCTCTATAAGAACTTCAACTGTCTTGTAACGTTCTTTCCGAACTCCAAACTGAGTTCCAAAGCGGGATGTCTGAGGAGTTTGACAACCTGATATGCAAGCTACTGGCTTTAAATTCTCCATTACGTAACCAGTTCCTATTGGTTATTGTTTGTAGTATCATGTTCATGATTGGTGTCTTTGTGAGTCTGATGGTGGGTTTTCATTGCTAATTCATGTTGCTGTCTTCAAAGTGGGGTGGGGGCAGGCCAGAGCAAAGGAGTCTGGAAACTGAAGCTCATAGCAATGAACTCAGTTCCGTTTGACAAGAACATAGATTATTCCTAGCACAGACAGCTCTGAATGGAGAATCATTGGACTGATATAAATGACTATTGAAGTGTGATGTTGCAAACCGCAGGTGGGAGGAGACGGGGCAGTGTAGATAGAACGGATATGGATGATAGAAGCGGCGTAAAGAAAATAGTTCCACATTTGCTGCGAGTATATATAAGCGTAGCATAAACATTCTAGAACGTTCGATCCTTTTTTTTTTATTGCTAGTGGAGTGGGACTAAGTCCCTTGTACTGCGGCCACTGTTGACCTATTGTACCAGCCGCAGATGATAGGTGAGGGTGATTGTGGAGCAATTGGTGGAATGAAGATTGGCAGGGGAAACCGAAGTACTCGGAGAAAACCTGCCACAGCTCCAATTTGTTGACCACAAATCCCACTTGACCAGTCCCTGGATCGAACCCGGGCTGCCGCGGTGGGAAGCCAGCGACTAACCGCTTGAGCTAAGGCGCGGCATTCGATCCTTGTTGCTCTGTTACCTTAAAAACCGTAAGACTTATGGGAAAAGTGTACGAAACGTAAATGTGTATTCTAGCCTTCTCTACAACTTTCGTTCGAAAAAAAATTAGCTACAATAAATTTTTGGCCAGTTATGCTGTATATTCTCTGCAGGCACGCGCAGAAATATATAGGTCTGCATGTAAAACGTCCGCTATCTTTGTCGAAATTTAATAGAAATTGGAATATGACGGGAAATATCATTGAAATCTTCAATTTGAAATTTCATAAAATTCTAACAGGTCTGCAGTTACGCACGGACTGACAGACTCGTACACATGCTGAAAGTAATGGGCTCAATTTTGCAACCT